TCTTGTGTCACTGTGATAAAACATCATGGCCAAAACCAACTTAAATAAGAGAGTTTTGACAGGATGGTAGCAAGCACCAGGCATGGCGGCAGAAGGAGACAGCAGGAAAACCATATGTTCAACCACATGAAACAAAGAGAACAAACTGGAAGTTGGGTGAGGCTATGAACCCACCTTCAGGGATGAACTTCCTCCGGCGAGGCTGCACTGCCTCTCCAAACAGCACCACCAACTGGGGACCAAGTATACCTGAGCTTAGAGAGGATAGTTTTCACTAAAGCCACCACAAAGCTTGTTCACAGCTTTCAGCTTAAGTCCCAAGGACATAAAGTTGAAAGTAGAAAGGTGTCACTAATATAAACACAATGGGATAAGATTTTTGCGCATCATCCAAGTAAATGGATTTCCCCTCTCCGGCTGCTCAAAAAGGAGTACCAGGTAAAAATATAAGCAGTGGTATGTATGGTTTGGCTGCGAAATAGCCCCATGGGCTTATGTGTTTGCCCGTGTGGGTTCCAGATGCTGCTGCTATTAAAACAGTTAGGGAACCCTTAAGAAGTGGAGCATCATTGGAGAGGTAGACCTCAGGCTTTATAGTCTGACCTCACTTCCTGCTCATTCCCCTCAGACTGATGATGTAATGTAATGGGCTGGCCTTATGATACTGCTGCCATGCCTTCTCTGCCATAGTGAACTCTAACCCCTCTGAAGCTGTCAGGAAAATAAACTCATCCTTAAGTTGCTGTTGTCAAGGTCTTTAACCCCTGAAAAGATGCCAAACTGAAATTAAGTTGCAGGTCATCAGCAAGTAACTGTCTAATATATGTACACAGCGTTTAATACTGAGGAGCTGCTCTACTGTAACTAGCAATCAGGATGGGTTGATATACTTGCTGATATGGGCTCTAGCCCTCTGCCATGCACAAGCCAAAATAAGCCCTTCTTTCCTTGAGTTCATTTTGGTCCTGATATTTTATCATAGCAACATAATAGTAACTAATACACCAATAAAATGTTTTTTTGAATTTCAAAATTTGACATTAGTAAAGCAATAAACTTGATGACAGAACCAGAAAATGAATTGTATGGTATTCATACTAGAAAAGTAAAAACTTAATTAAAAACCTAAACTTGACAGTCCATGGCAGCTATGTTTGAAATAGCTAAAATATAAAATATATGTTTTTCCATAGGTATATGTTTAAATAATGCAATCATAGGATGGAATACTACTCAGAACAGGAGAAAGTACTGATACATCACGCAACACGAATGTAACTTAAGGGTATGATGTTAAGTAAACAAAATGATGTTGGTGTTTGATCTGGTGCTACGTATACAAATGCTAATTACTGGCTGCCAAAATCTGGTTGCAGTCCAAATGAGTACATTCTCATGTACACTAAATGATGTTGTATAAACTTTGCTCCCCAGTTATCGCTGACTGGTTAATAAAGTCTCTGAGAGTCAATTACTGGGGAGAAGAGAATAGGCAGAATATTGGTTCCTGGGTTAGGGGTCTCAGGTAGGGACCACAAGGTCAGGAGGAGAAGAGAGGAAGAAGAAAAAGATGGAAAAAGAGGATGTGGCCTGATGGAGCAGATCCAGCCCAGACAGAATTACTTATTGGCAAATAACTTGGGGAATGCAGCTGGGAGATAGCCAGACTAGCTTAGAAAATTAGTTTAAATTGTACCCGCCCAGTTATTATATATAAAGCTTGCTTAAATAAATCATATGTGTCTGTATCAATTATTGAGGAACTAGCTGGGCCTTAGAAAACTCTATAGAAATTAATAAATATTCAACAACAACCCGATATAATGGCAGATAGGATTTTACTTGTGAAGAACCTACCACATTATAAAATCATAGTAATGGAGGGACAATAAGTTGCCAGATTTTAGAGAAGATGTATATGACTTGAAGGAGTCAGAATCACAGGGGGCCTTTGTGGTGAAGAATAGTGCTGGAGCTGGGGTAGAGTGCTTGCTAGTATTCACGAAGCCCTAGGGTGGGTCCCAGCTAGAGAGGACCTAAAGGTCTCCAAAACAGTATAGACCATTTCTATTTCTCATGTTGGTCTACCAGAACTAGATAGTAAATCCCAGTTGCTGAAGACACAGCACAGTTTACAGAATATGCAGACATCAAACTAAAAGTGAGCTACAAGCCATATCCCTGTGGGCTGGCTTTCATAGTACTGGGAACTGCTGTGCAGTTCAGTGGGGGGTTGGGGCGGATCATCAGTGGTCTTATCAAGTGGTATACCTTTTGTGCTACAACCACCAACATGCCAAGCAGGATGGTCCCATTCGTACAATAGTGGTATTTTCTTATGAGGGTAACCAAGCTCTTTCTGTCTGAATTTGAGGCTCACTCCACAGAAGAAAATTCATGGGTGTTACTGTAAACACGCTCAAAAGCTCATACTGTTGTTTTACTAAAGGGCCATGTAAACATAGATTTCAGCCTTGTCAGAGAAGAGTCTTTGCAGTGAACAACTGTGGTTACTTATACAAGATCAAGCCCTTTGACATTCCCACATGTTTTGTTTTGTTTTGTTTTGTTTTGTTTTGTTTTGTTTTTTAATAGCTCACAGAACCCCATCCTTCCTTTCAGTTAATGGCTACCAAGAAAGAGGAAGCCATTTTTCTTCTCTAGACATTACAATTATATTTGACCCAAGGAGATATAGTTCTTATTCATGAGTCTGGTAAAACAATTCTCTGCTGATCAGAATGGTACATGCTTATTGAACTTGTGCAAAGTTATTACTCCCAAAATAAATACTTATGACTATTTTTTTGCTTTCTTCTATGTGCTTCATTTAGTATGGAATATTTAAATATTCATATATATATAAGAATATTTAAAGCAAAATCATTTTATATGGAAATCATATTAAAAGTAATTAAGCTGCTTATTAAAGTCTTAAAAGCTAGGAATCACTTGTTGGTAGGGTTTTTAAACTTTCTATTGATTCTTTGTGAGTTTCACATCATGTACCCCATTATCACTCATTTCCCCTTCCCCTCATATCTGCCCTTTATCCTTGCTACCTCCCCATCAAAATAAAACACACACAGAAAGAAAGAAAAAGAAAGAAAGAAAGAAAGAAAGAAAGAAAGGAAGGAAGGAAGGAAGGAAGGAAGGAAGGAAGGAAGGAAGGAAG